AGCTTCAAACAGCCTAAAACAGCTATAGTAAGAATTAAAGTTAATTACCAATTAGTAATGTCTCAAGAATCAATAACCGGTGAATAACCTATAAAGAAAACGGAAACGGAGTAAAACTTACTTTGAAGTTATTCTGCCATTACCGGTATCAAGGAAGTAAAATAATATTACGACATCAATCATCATCCATATTAGAGAAGTCAGTACAATCGCGCGACATACATCAACCCGTAATCGCATCTGTTTTAATTCTAACAAAAAAAAAGATGAAAATCAATGATCGTTAGGGGAAAATCAAGAAAATAAATTTGTCAAAACCGCAAATGCAAAATTTCGGAAAAGTAAAACGAACTTTGAATTTGTAATACAATACGCAGATTTAAAATGTATATGTTTAATTTATACTGATTTTAACTGGAAATGTCCAACTTGAATATATCAAATGAAATACATTTGCCTTTCTTCTGAAAGAAGTAAAGCATCAAAACAATAAGATATGGAAGAGTCAAATAAGGTTAATTATAATCATTGCCGGGTAAAGCCGATGATAATATAATTAAAAGAAAGAAATCTAATGAGCCTATCTATCTATTTGATGCTAAAAAAGTCACACAAGGAAGTGAGCTTTGATGCATTAAATTAAAATAACTTCTAATTATAACAAAATTGTAGTCAGTAGAAAAAAGAAACAAAAAATATCTGCCCCTTTAATGACGTTCACTTCGGATAAAGTTCAAATTTCGAAACCGATGAATACTACAACAGCTGTCATGATTGAGACAATAAATAAGTGAAATTACAATTCAATATGTAAAAAAAGCAAAATTCGCATAATGATGGAAGCATTTGTCTTCAAAATTTTATGGAATGAACAAACTAAAAAATTTCTTTCTTACACATAAGCATTTTTCCTTTTCTTCTTGCTTTCTTCTCTTCAAAATGAATCAACAATAATGACTGTCACCTAAGATAAGATCGCTGTGACAATTATCATCATCATTATTGAAATGAAATTCAAAATTAGTAGATTAGTAGTTCAAAAAAATTCCAGAAAAATTAATTTAATCATAGTTTAGATATTAATATCAGTGCCTCTTTCAACTTTCCTTAAATCAGATGAATATCGAATCACGGATATTATTCCGTGATTAAATATATTTGTAAATGATTGCACAATTTTCAATTATTTTGTCGATCTAACTTCGAAATGAATAGAGTACTCCTGATAAGCCTACTTTAGCACTGATAATAATATTCAAACTGTGAATAATTAATTAAATTTTTTAAAATTTTCTTTAGTTAATTTCTAGCCTATTAATCTTTAATTTTATTTATTTCAAGGAGAACAGTTAGTTTTTGATACAGTTAAACGATTACTGATTTCATTTGCGTGAAATTTTTAAACATTTTTTTGCATACTGAAAAAGTCCTCAATTTTTGGAACAAAGTAAGGAAATGAATGACAATGAGGAATGTATACCACTGATAGCATGGATAACGGGAATGAGTTGAGATACATATGTCGGACAATATACGCACAATTCAGAAGTGAACTTGTTCCTAATATCAAACCAATTAATCTCATCCTAACGACTAATCCCACTAACCTATTGAAATTAGCGTTTTTCTTAATAAAGCTGACAGCAAACTTTGGTTAACAGAAATGCAAAAAATGGCAATAGTTAGATCTTTTATGGAAAAAAAAATGCATAGAAAACATTTTAAAATGTAATTAAGAAATCAAAGAAAGTAAATGTAAGCAGAGTTGTTAATAAGACCTTTAATTAGCAGATAATTTTAAATAAAAAGAATCTATGAATTCTGGAAATATCGCTGATGCATTTCACCGGCAAGTTGAACTTAACTTTACCACTAATACTTTCAGGAAAAGTGAACGATAGGAAAGTACGAGGAAACGCCAAAGGTTCGATTAATTCCGTTTTGAATTGCAAAATTCCAAAAACCAATAAAATTGTTTGAATCATAAAATTTATCAAGAACTTGTTTACAATCGCCCGCTTAAGCCAGAATATTGGTGTAGGGATAGAACAATAAATTATCATCGGTTGGTTCATATAAATCTCATGCATAGGTCTTTAGTATCACTACGGCATCTTAGACAATTCTCCCAAAACAGGGAAGAGGTTTTTAAAAAGAGTAACCGAGATATATTTTCCGATATTATTGTTAATAAACATTCGACATTATCTTTCTTGATCTAAGAGGATGTACGATTTCGGTACTACCAAATGTCAAGATTCAAATTAATGCCTTCTAAATTGTCACGAATCATTGATGACTTTAGAAATAAATTCAGCAAACTTGATACGACATATTCGGCGAGTTGAAACCCAAGAAATATCATACATCTTTCCAAGACTAGAATAGAATATTTCAATGAAAACGAATAACTGATGTAGTGCATCATCATAAGTTATTTAATAAATAAAAGCAATATGTGATATAGTTGTTGTCATACAAAATAAGATTTAGAGAAATTGAACGAAAAATTGATTCATGCATATTTATCATATGTTTTAACAGAAGAAATAACAGAATTTATCAGTGCATCAATGCAAATAAATTGACGACGGATGACAATCTTAGATAGGCTTTTTATTCAATTTTAAGTAATCATACTTCTAAAATTGTTCAAATTTGAAGGTTGTAATGTAAAGTTGAGACGTTATAGATGGAAAAATGATAGAAATAGATAGAAATGAAAAAATAGGAAAGGTCGCATAAATATGTTGGAATTCTTCTCAAATATCAAATTTAACCATAGATTAGGGATAAAACAAGCAGAATGCACCGATCATAAAGAGCAATAATGCAATATAAAATTCAGAAATTGATTTCAATTCGGAGAATACAAGCATACGACTGAGCGAAACATTATAAAACAAGTAAAGCAAAAGTTAAAAGTTAAAAAAACAATGTGACCATATCTCAGCAAAATTATTACTTATAAACTAAAGATGGATACAATTCAGGTTGGGGATCTTAAGTTCTATCTTAAATTAAAATTTGAAGAATGGCAATGGATTCTGATAAGTTCTTTGATGCAACCCATGTAATTAAGCGACTTCATTGTTATTATCTCCCTAAAATTGGGATTATTTGCAAAGTTTTTCTAGTTTGACCATAAATGCCATTTAGCACAATATCATTTCTTTTATCATTTATATCTTCTTCATCTAATCTCTCCCAAATCATTATTGGACATGTCCTATTAATAATTGAAAAGTAAAACATAGTGAAGAAATATTTCATTTGACTTGGGAAAAGAAATTAAATAATAACAATAATAAGGAGAAGGTGAACAATAAAAAAATTACTTATGAAAAGGATGGTAGGCACATGTATGAGTTTTTGTAAAATTTAAAATACAAACTTATCACAAACAAGTAAACATTGGAGAACAGTTGCATGAATTAATCATAAATAACTGAACAAATGATTAGTTTGCATTTTCTTTTCAATTTGCAATTAACCATCGGATATACTTACAAATGTTCTCTACCGTATGATGTGACCTAAAGTCTACCAATACACAAGAAAATTAACGGAATAAATTTAACCAAATTAAAATTTCGAAATTTAAACAAACGACTAGCATATTTTATCACATCGAAAAATGAATTCATCCACAAATAAATGAAAATATCTCCATTAATTCTGCCACACAAAAGAAAAAAAGTTAGAGAAAAGGATAGTAAATATCATCCGTTAAGTTACATTCTCAAAAATTTACCTCATATCCAGAGATTTCAAAATTAACGGTGACGATAATCAGATTATTTATTTAAAACAAGTAAATAATTCTAAGCGGTATTTGATGAATTTAATCAGACAAAGATTTACCCATATGTGCATTCATAAATGTGGAGAATAAATAAAAATTGGCATACCATTCAATTTATCAGAAATAAAAAAGACTATCAGAAATGAAACCAAATTTTTTTTCACTTATCCAGGATTAAAAAAAGGACTGAAAATTCGAAAAAAGTTGGAAATTTGAAAGAACTTTTTAAATCGAAAAATCAAAATGAAATGGTCGGATGGCAAAATCGAATGTTAATATGATAAATTCACATTTATGCAGTAATAATTCTCGAAGTCCTCTTCTTCACATCTTCTGGAAATAGAATAATTATAAGTGTTGGAAATCGATCATCTATATAATACAAAATATCCAATTTAAACTATAAAGTGATCTCAAAATTCTTAATATATTCTCAAAATTCTAAGAAACCCAATAATAAAATAGTGAATCTTTTTTAAGCAGTATATTGCAAACGAGAGAGCAATTAGCAATTCCCACAGCTGAATTTAGATTTGTATCGATTTCATTTTTTTTCATTTCTTGTTGTTTTCACACTTGTGGATAAAACACGAAAACTAATCAGATTAACAGAAATAGTGCAATTATATGTAAATAGTACTTGAAGGACAGTCTCATTACTATTGTTTTCTATCAAACGGTTTCTGTTTCATTGAGAGGATACTTTCCATAAAACTTTTCTAACTACTGTTTGTATAATTCTCATAAACAGAGAGAGAGAAAGAAGCAGAAAATGAATTTATATGTTAATTCCCTTATTTATTTCCCACCGGGTTCAAATGTTAAATACATCTTATGTACTTTCGTCATGTAATACAAAAATTAAATTCTCTTAAATCTTTGAAATTAACTTTAGTAATGAAAAGAACATTTCACTCACTGAAATATACCAAAACTTTCTTTTCAACAAAGCGATGATGGTACAGCATATTCAAAGCTAAACTTTTAGAAACAAAAATTTTTTCGTAAAGTTTATAAAATAGCCAATCAATGTCAATTATCAAAATATGTATTAATAAAGGACAATGAAGCACCGCATATAAAGAGGGATTTTCATAAAGCAAGGTTGAGCATAACCTCTTTCAATCATTATTTCACCAACACCACCAACATCAGCGATATGTGAAAATACTGGCTACATGTAGAAGGAATATCATCACTGTATACATTGGGCATATCCTTGTTCAAAAATCATTTGACCAACATTATTACCATCCGCGAAAATCTTTACCGTCGCAAACGGTATTACAGTACAACCGGGATCCCCAAACAGCTCCCAATCGCTGACTGGTTCCACTTCTATGTGTTCTGCAGCAGTTAATACATTACATATCGCTGCTTGACTCTCACGACTCCATACTTCACCACCATCTTTTGGCTTAATTCCTGCTATCTGAAAGAATCCAAAGACGAAAGTTTTAACATACATGTATATATGCGAATCATGTAAAATTGTTATGAGTTCTTAATTTCATGAATCAAAAACTCGATTATCAAATAAAAAATCAAAAAACATCACTAACCTTACATTTAGCCATCAAAATTTTTCGTAATCCATTTGGAGTTTTGAGATGACGCATATTCGATTTACGGACAATACCGAATAAGCCAATGTCAACAGAATAGACACGGAAACAATCAGCATCAATAGCGCTTGGACCAAGCAACTGTACACGTTCCCAATTCGAATCTTGACGCAATTTCGCAGCATAGAAACATCCTGGTATTAACTCGCTGAAGGGTGGTGGTGACGGTTGCGCCAATGAATCTCGCTTTACTGCACTGCTTATGTAGTCTGGGATTGGATCCTGGAATAGAATATCAGTCAATTTTCTTCTGTAAAAATTTGAGAACATCACATTGGGATTACAGTTTACAACCAAAAAAAACCAACATGATTTTGGAAATATACGAAAGTAATATACGAAATAGTAAATGACTAAAGCGTCAAAGCAAGAAACGTACAAATGAGCATTGTCGTATGCTGATGCTATCGGGATCGAATACAGCCAAAATATGAGCAGCAAAGCGTTTCTTTGGCATGTCACTTAACTCCATGGCAACTAGTTCCACTCTTCCAGTGGTCAGTGAATACTGTGGCGATGTTGGTATTACTTTTATCACATTTCTGCAATTTTAATCATAATGCGTCGTCTTGAAAAAGCAATTGTATTCAATACATATTATTTTATCTGTCACCACAAATCTATTAGTTTATCATAAAAATAGTAGTATTATCTTTCCTCTTATTCTAGCAATATATATAGCAGAAAGAATATATCTTTGAATGAATTCTTTAAATTTTATTTCGACAAATTTTCCATTTCAAAATTTTTTTAGTGTTGCTCATATTTTGACATGCATGAGAAATTAAAATCTGACACTACTTACATACCGTCCAATCTCGTAATTTTTTTGTTCCGAAAAGATGAAAAACAGTATGCTAAACTATCATTTCCAAAAATTACAAATTGATGATAACTCATGTGAAAATAAAATGAAGAAATCAGGCGGTATTTTTTGCTGAACTGCAAGCAAAATATTATAAAATTTATGCTTCATCAGAATAGCCTTCAAAATTTTCCTCAATTCATCAAAGAAACTTACTGCTCTTGTTCTTTCCGATCCTTAATCCACACAGTCGAGCTTTGAACACTGTATTTAACTAATCCATTTTCTATATATGCGGATACAAATCGTAGCTAAAAAGCTGAACGCATGCGAGGTTGTAACACAAAGTGCTGTGCACTTTGTTTTCTCTTACATCATTTTTATTTGTTGATATTCCTTGAAAACAGGAAGACATCATCAAAATTTTTATAACGTTAGCATCAAGGGCACTAAATAAAAGCACACACCAAATTTTTATAATGTTAATTAAGTTCATTATTCAAAAAACCACATTCTCAAATATCAAACGAACCAGAAAATCTTTATACTATATACTAAACAATTGAATTCACTCACTAATTATTTGGAAGATATATGTTAATGAAGGTGTACTTCTCTTCTTAATTCCATTATATTTGTTGATTTACAACTAGCACTAATTTAGTTTTCAAAATAAGCTATACCGATAACGGAAGTTGAGTATGGCAAGCAGTTCGCAAAATACACAGCGATGGAGCATTATCACACTTTTTACCCAAAGTAACAATGAACGCATAAATGGGATATATTCTTGGAAGCGCATATTCCGCACGAAGACGTCGAATCGTTGCACCGTTCACATGTATGATTCGACCATTATCCAATAATGTGAAGTATTCAGGAACCTACATAAAAAGAATGCATCATTACCAAATAATTGTCTGTATTTAATGACAATGAAAAAATTAATAAAGTAAAGCCCTGAAGCAAAGTTTTCCAACATTGATATGTTGGAAAATTTTGCTATTATTACATAATTATTATTACATAATAACAAAAACTATTATTATTATTTTTACATAATACAAAAATTACATAATAACAAAAACTAATATGGTTTCAAGTAATTTAATTTCTTAATAGTTATAATGCTTCGATTGTAACGAGGAGATTAACTTTACCAACTATTGAACAGTCTCTTTGACTCACTTTCAGCAGTGCTCGATACCAATGTCCATCTGATTCGCGAACTGCATAAACACCACCCAATTCAGGTTCTGCCACTGGTTCCCCGGACGATTGCTCTTCATAGTGTGAATCCATTGCCGACCGCAGCAATTCAAAATTATTTCTTGTACCGGCCAATTGCACAGATATATCGGCCGAGTCGTCATCACATTTCATCACAATAACGCTTACTGTTGAAGGACAAATGATCGGTTCGAATGACAATATTGATTTCATCTGAGATTAAGTCAAAAAAAATTTCACCATACATTATTATTATATTATTATTAGATTATTTACTATTATTTATTATTATTACTATTTATTATTAATATTATTTATTATTACTATTTTATTATTATCATTACCATTATTACCATTATCATTATTATCATTCATTATTATCATTATCATTAACATTATCATTCATTATTTATCATCATTATTATTTATTATCATTATCACTATCATTATTATTTATTATCATTATCATTATTATTTATTATTTATTATCATTATTATTTATCATTTATTATCATTATTATTTATTATTTATTATCATTATTATTTATTATTATTTATTATTTATTATCATTATTATTTATTATTTACTATCATTATTATTTATTAGTTATTAATTTAATATTTATCATTATTATTATTGTTATTATTGTTATTACTATTATTTATAATGCCATCGCTAATATTACTGACAAGAATGCAAAAAATTTAAGGCGTATATTCTGAACTCAATATTGTTATCAGATATTATTTACTACTCAAACTTTGCTTGCCCAAAACATAAACAACCACTAAGTAATAAACAATTTTCTAACTTTCTTAAAATTTTCAAGATGTCTTAGTATTTCTGATGCTCTCTAACATCTCAGTTTCTACTTTATTGTCAGACGAGAATGTCGAGAAATACCTTATGAAAACTGATAAAATGTGATGAGATCTTGAAAGGAATAATTAAATAGTTTTTGGATTACTATGAAATGCAAAAGTCCAATTTTCTGAAAGGAAGTATTAACTGAAGTTCTTTGTTACCTGTTGAGCCAATTCTCGATCAGTGAGCCTAATTCGAGCTGTTTCCTTTGACTGAGGCGATGCACACGCCTTCGTAATACCTAGAAGGAGAAAGAAATATTATACCAGCTGGCATTTCCTGCATGATCGAGTAATAGAAATTTTATTATGCGCTAAAGGATTTTTATCACAAGATTTGTGTCAATACTGCAAGGCAGATTGCTATTCTAGAAAAAAAGCAGGTGAAAAGGAAAAAAAGGATGTAACAAAGGTAAAAAGAATTATACAATCTGCATAATTAAGTTATCACGAATGATCAGAATATTCGGTTATGAAGTATTTTGTATAACAAACTGACAATACAATCAAAACATTCTACTTAATCCAGTTAATACAAACATCCATATAAAAATATATGGATTTTGTTTTCTACGAATTTCAATAAGCAATAAATATTTATGTGCCACATAGATAAATATGTTACAATGACATACGGTTGAGGAAAAGAACCAAACTTAAAGAGTAGATTTGAATTAGTTCCATTCTTGTAGTTTGCCCTTTTTTTGTACAAGAAGAAAGGAAAGGCTAGAGAAATGTGACTTGTTATAGGTCATATATATGATTCAAACAAAAAGTAAATAAAATTACTGGAATCTTATTACAACCGATCCTATAATTTTATCTTTCATGACAAAAACCAATACAGCGAAAAAGGAACTGAACCACTCTACAAAATTCCACTTTACCCAATTTTATTAACATTTTAAACAAAAGAGAATATCTGATAATCTTCAATAATTAAAGGCTTAGATTTAAAAGAGAGACGTGTGAACCCCTTTTAGAACAAGTTTTGTTGCAATGCAGCACTAAGCGAAAATAATGTAAGTTATGTCAGCTAAAAATTTCAATTATTATAAGCAGAACTAAATAATATAAAGTGCATTATTCTAAATTTAATTTAAAGCAATTTTTTAATAAAAAAGTGAAAATTATAAACATACTCAAAGAATTACATAACGGTTCAATAAATGGCCGTTCATCGCGTTGTCGTGTATAAACCATTGCAATTGGACCACGATTAACAACTTCAAATTCTTCCGCTACTCGTATATGATCAAGCCAATTATCCGGAAGCAACGGTCCTAAACCACGCTTTTCATAGCTGAAAAAATTTATTAAGTTAAAAACGGTTTTAATCTCAAATTTTTGTAGTATCAATAAATGAAATATTATTATAAATAAAAGAAAATACTACATTATTTTGTGTATTTTGGAGATATTTTTTTAAGAATCTCAATTATAAAAGTAGTATAACTTTTAGAACGCATTATCCACTACAATTGAGAAAATTTGGTGAATTGCAGATTATAAAAGGAATTCCAGCAGAATTCCATATATGTACGATTTAAAGTAGAGTGAAGAAGGAACAGTACTACCTCTCCGGTTTACCGGATATTATGAGAGCATGTTGTATTGTTACTATTTTTAGTCCTGATAATTAATATGTCGTATAAATAGGAAATTAAAATTCAGCAACCTTTCCTTATATATTTTCGCTAAGTGATCTACCATAACACCCGATGAAAAATTTGTTTTGATTAATTCGTACAAAAGTTCGCGAACTTCTTCCATCTCATCGCTTATATCCAAATCTGCATTATCTACTGAAAATTTAAATTAAAAAAAAAGAAGAAAAAGAGGTAATCAAAATTAATCACTGTAAATAATTTCGTGATAAATGAAAATGAACTATCAATAACTTACTCAGGCAGATATAAAAATCAATAGTATTAAAAAACTGGAATTGTTAATCTCCCTCAATAGACTAATACTTAACTGAGTTCAACACATTATTGAAAATAAGAAGAAAGAATCTGTTAGTGATGAAGGCTTCTTTATTAGCAGGAATTACTGCATCTCTTCAAGATTACTTTTTCCATACCGTGTAAGATATATTTATTAAAATTAAAGTCGAATTTCATGTCAAAATTGAAAATTCAAAACATGATAAAAACATATTAAGGGAGATGGAAAAGGGAAGACGGAAAGAAGAGTTCTTTGTCACTCGAAATGACAATAAATGAACTAATTTTGCTGAGTGCGTTAGCGAGAAGGAGTGGTGAAGTGGAATTAAGCTGAAACTGATAGAATATGATTCGCCCTTGTCTTAATTAATTGTTCTCATCTTACTACCTCTACTTTTAAATTGACTTCTCCTTTCATCTCAAAGGGATAGCATGTTAAATTTGCAATTCTTTTTAATTTTTGAATTTATTCAACAAAAAATCATTTTTTTTAAATTTCAAATGGAGAAAAAAATGAGCAGACAAGATTAATGCGGTTTGATACGTGAAGGCAACGCTTTCATATGCCAATTCCTTAGGGAACTTCTTTAAAAATACCGGAGGATCGATGCATACATTATAAAGAAACTAATCAGTAATTAGTTAAGGCTGAAATTTGATAGATTTCGCAGAGGAAATAAAATTGACTATTTATTTTTTAAACTTTATTTTTCAACTTCAAGTCCTATGAAATCCAACAAATTCATTCCCGAAAGTCATAGCAAATTTCTTCCAACATGCAAAAGAAGTAAAACCGAACTTAACCTTTTGAAGCAGAAGTGTTGAAAGAAACTACAGAGAACTCTCCCTTTTTCAGAAAGAAGTTAAAAGGACTGGCATAGACATGAGCTACAGAAACGGTAACTATATGAACAACTGACCCTTATCAAATATTGTTTGTGGAATATTGACAAGTCCGTATGATGTGGTCATTCTTCTCTCTTGAAAGTTTAATATACTTTAGGCTTCTGAAAATGCAAAGCATAAAATTAATTATGGAAATATGCTATCATGTAATAATAAGACGAACAAAAATTCCACCTGTTTACTTCATATACAGGGGAGTGCTTTAAGCGGTTAAAAATGATAGTTAAAAATGATAGTTGCGCTCTATAAGAATTATAACTTCAGCAAATCCGGATCAGACCTGCCCAACGGGAAGTGGCCCTAGTGATGATTTTTATTGCTGCCTTGAGGATAAAACAAAAACGAATCTTTCTGAAAGGTAAGTATTTCAAACTTCTGCAAGAATGGGTAATCATAGATGAGAAAATATAATTAAAATAAGAAATTCACTTTTTCGAAATTCTTCATCCGAAGAAAATTCCACTTTTTCGAATTTTTCGGATAAATGAACAGGAAACTGATAAAACAATAAATGAAAATCAGAAATCATTCATATTGTGAATGAGAGTAATTGGATATTTGTCATTGCCGAAAGTAACATTTCCCTTTGTAAAACAGTCCATATTAATATTAATATGCTAATCCTTTCATTTAAAATTACATTTTAAATAAATAAAATTTTTTGCATCTTTGTTAAATCACTTTTTTTACAATCTTTCCAGAGAGTTAACAATATAAACCATTAATAAAAATTCGACAAATATTATTCATATAGTCTATAAAATGCATATACATACCAACGTATATATATGTATTAAATTTGGATTAACTATAAGGCATAGTTAATCCAAATTTTCGGGGAAAAAGGGGATGAGTTTATGATGTGCTCTCAATAATCAAATGAAACTTTCTTCCTTCTCATTTTTATATCTTTTGAACTTAAAATCTAAATAAAAGAGATCAAATAAATAATTGCGCTATTCGTTCATTGCTTAATAATTCTAGTACACTTAAAGCAAACAATAAGATGATCGATTATGAAGGAAAATGAATAACCGATCAAATAATGTGTCAGTAAATTAATGGTTAAATCACAGCTCGCAGGTCATTTATCCAAATCATTCCATGTTTAAGCGACGCTTCCTCCTCATACAGACACACACAGACACATACACTTTGCATGCATATGCGTGTGTGTGTCTGTGTGCATGTGTAGATGTATGTATGTATGCATTTATGTAGATTTATAAGGTAATGAATGAGTGTTCCTGGTTCCGCGGATAAATGGGTAAAGTGTGAGTGGATGAGTTAGCGGAGATAAAAATGAAGGGAATAATGATGTAATCAGAAGTGAGGCTGATTCCCTAATCTGAAAATAGATTAATAACGAAAGAGAGACATGAACGTTGGCAGAAAAGGGAGAAGTAATAAATTAAGCTATGAAGTAAAGAATAAAATGTACTTCTAAGAAATTACGAGAACAACTACCCAAATTTCGACGCGGCCACCGTGAAATACCAGTCCGCAGTTACATAATGAGTGCAATGTTCACGACAGTAAGGGTCGGGAGCACTTCGTCCAGGATATAGGTGGGCGATTGTGTTAACGTTTTGAGGGGTGAGCGATGTATTTAGTGACGAGCAGGTCAACTGCTGCCGAAATTTCACCTATTTCTTTTTCATTCTTTAGCAGGAGAGAGGGCTTCGATAAATGAGAGAATTAGAGGCATTTCTTTTTTATGGTTTATGTTTGGGTTGGATTTTAATCAAGGCATTTCTACATAGTGAGTGATTGGATGAGACCAGTTCAATCCAAAACATTCCTTTGAGGCTGATAGATCAGATTAAATGCTCGTATGACTAATGTTGAATCTCGGATCCGATTGAGCAACTAATCAAGATTTCTATGACCCCATTCATGTTTAACTTGTAGCTTTTCATTGTTGTACCTGTAATAGGTGAAAAAAAAGTAGAAGAAATAATAGGGAGGAGGTAGAATATAGTCGATGAGACGGTGGTACTGCTCCCGGAACACTCTTTTTTTCCTTTCATACAGTTTTCCACCGAGGGAAATGGTGCCACGGTTCATGGAAGGTATCGTTGGAATGCTGAAATTAAAAAAATGCAATCTCGAACTCAAGATTGTAATTTTAGAAGAATAAAAAGGTGATTTGAAATAGGAAAAGAAACTGTATTTTCAGGAAAATAAATGATTGGTAAAATACTTTTCAGGGTTATGAATGAAGATTAGTCAAAATTCGGGACGGAGAAATGAAGCAATTCAAACGAAATATCGGCAAAGATGGTGTTGGGTTTGTGTTACTGATGTAGTTTGTATTAGCAGGTTCAGGGTGGTTTTACTACATTCAAATTTTTCTTATCATTACTATTGACATATTTGTTAAATTTTATTGATAGTTATTTTTATGGGATAGAAATCTAAATCAAATTATTGGACATTCAGCATTTGTGAACATATAAGATCTATTTGACAGTATTATTTCAATTAGAAAGTTGAAATGAATAGAATCCACTTCCGTTGCGCTTGTGTCTTCGGAAATAAAGGTTAGGGTAGTGAGAAAAACCAGTATTCATTTCTTTCCCCAAAAAAGAAAAAAATGAATACTGCTCTTTCCATCTCTTGAGATTTATTTTTTGCAGTCGCACAGTTTTCCCCGATATCTTTTCTCTATCAAATTTATGCACTTTCGCTAAGAGTATAGTGGTGTTGATATTCCTGTAGTAATCGTAATGTAATGTATCATTCAAACCTGATTTCGGTCCATAACTCATCATTTTCTGTTTTGCTAGTTCCCGCATAATCATTGAATAAATTTATGCAGTCATTTTTACAGAGAAGTAACAATATCATGTGATGAAGCAGAGGACATGTGGCACGTTTACAATTTAGTACGTATTGGTGATACAGTCCGGTGTACGACAGTTCGAAAGGTTACAACGGAATCAAGCACCGGCAGCACTGTTAGGTAATATGCGGTTTATCGCTTTAATGGAGATGTTTTAATTTTTTCCATTTATAAAAAAAAAGCACTTATTTTCAATACCGATACCTAAAGCTCGATGTTTTCTCGAAATTCTTAAAGCATTTTCATTGATTTACTTATCGAAATTCTTATAAAAATTGACCTTATTATTTATTCTCATATTCCCTGTATAGTGGCCAAGTTTCCGCCAAATTATAAGCATACAACAAATATATTAGTCGTTATTTTCTTGCAGTCAGCGGGTACATACTGTTTTGTCGATTTCCATTGAAACCATTGATTTTGATCCTGTAGCTTGCATCTTGCATTTGAAAGGTAGAAATATTGCTGAAAATGAACATGTCAAAATGGGACAGTATCATACATTGGATATCGATGTTGGAAAGAAGTTCAAGTTATGGAAGCCGTATTGGGATTCGATAGATTTGGGTCGTCTAGATTTGGCACTTGATGTAGGCTTCAAAATAAACGTTTGCTATATTATCGTCAAAAATTTTCTGTAATATAGAATACAAAATGTGCTGTTGTTTAAGCCATGTTTAACTGACTTTTCAATAGCTCTTTGTCTGTCCTGACCATGCAGATCGGTATTTCGTAATCTTATGGAGTCTGACATAAGACAGTTTCGATCCGTGCCAGCAAGGTCTCTGGCGGAGTTTGCATATTTTTGAATTATCATCCGTTTTCTAAGTCTTATCGATACAAAATAATACGCAGTTTCCGTTATACTTCTCATCATCACTTATGATTTCTACTTGAGTTTAGCCATCCCGAACTGCCGATGTAGCTGCTATTGTTATGCATGAGGGATTGGCGAATTTATGTCTGGTGACAGCACAAATGACTATTGTCAAGGCAAAAGTTGACATGCAGGTTAGTGACTTCACCTTGCACTGAGAAAAATAAGACTGGGAGGAAGGTGATATTAGGAAGGATGATTTATAAATTTAAGTGGATAACTTGACATAATTTGATTAGTGTGTTTTCAGATTCCGAGGAAGAGAAAGGGTCGCTCAGATCATCACGACAGGGGTATGCAGCGTTTTTATGAAGTTATTGCAACGGCATTTGTTAGGCACGTTGACATGAAGGTTGGTTACTTAAAAAATTTTGAAACATTTTATTCATTCCTTCCTAGTTAATTAGTTTCATCTCATATTTCATATTTCAGGTAGTAAAATGCATATTAATAGCTGGTCGTGGTTTTCTTAACGAACAGTTTCTAAATTATCTAATGGAATATGCTGACAAGCGTGGAAATAAGTTGATTTTAGAAAGTCGTAGCAAATTTCTACTTGTTCACGCAAGCAGCGGGTTTAAGCATGCACTTAAAGAGGTGTTGTCAGATCCTGGTGTGGCAGCCGCCCTGTCGGATACTAAAGTAAGTGTTGAAAGAAAGAAATTAAACTTAGAGATAGTAAAATGATGTGCTATATTCTTAATATTTTTTTTCTTTGATAATATACATGTGGTTGGAAATTTTTAAGACCAGAAGTCTGCGTTGTTAGATTTGACTGAGCTATAATAGAACGCTATGTTTACGAGTTAGTGCTTATTATAGGCTCAAACTGAAATTAAGGCACTTAACACGTTTTGCGGCCTAATGGCAACTGATCCAGCTCGTGCCTTTTATGGTTACAAGCATGTGTTGATAGCTAACGAACAGCTGGCTATCGATACGCTGCTGCTGTCCGACTCGTTGTTTAGATCGAATGATATTCAGCTGAGGAAGAAATACGTCGAGCTGGCAGAGTCTGTAAAGGAGCAGGCAAGTTTAAATAATTCGTAGGATTTTGGACAGCTTGAAATTTATATTTTAAGCTTCGACTAGCTAACGACCCTTCTCGATCGTTACCATATTTCACACATAATGTTCTCAGTGCTCTGATAAGCAAATTAACCACATGTTAAATAAAACATCATTTCTAATCAGAACATTATCTAAGCCACTGGCGAGACTTGAATTAAACTTATGCATTTCATTAGGTTAGATAAAGATATCCGATCAGTTTCTTCACACTAGACAATTTTGCAGGGTTCGAATGTGTTGATATTTTCGTCAATGCATGTATCGGGTGAACAGCTTAGCGCATTAGGCGGCGTGGCAGCTATTTTAAGGTTTCCACTACAGGAGCTGGAAGATGAGGAAATGTCCGACAGTGAGCATGATGAAGACAGCGGCGATTTCAAGAATTAATTTATTTGTTTCACCGGATGAATTTTAGCGATAACAACTGCGTGGTAACGATTATTTCATGTGATATACAATCTTTCAAAATCATATATTAACATATTACATAAAATGGATGCACCTCTCTACATTCTTTGGATTTTATGTCATCACATCGAAAAACTGAGTTCAATTTACAACTGTAGATAATAGGTAGGGCTGCTTTCATCAGGTCAGCAAAATTTGGTAAATCCAACATTGATGTGAGCCCTACTTTCGGAGCTTTATATGCATTTCTGGTACTTAAGATGGAGAAAATCTTCCTTCTCAACAGCAGGAACAAAAAAGTGTACAAAAACGACATACAGAAATAAAATATTCCTCTGATCGTACTTAAACACAGAAGAGTGCAGTTAATGTGGGAAATTTTTTTGTCCACTCTGACGGAATAAAAATATCACAATAGATCATCATATAAATCGCTCCAAAAAATATTTTGAAATCTGAAAAGAACATGTGCGAGAAGGCTGACTGGTTGCGATACATGAATTCAATGAAAAAAATGACTCTTTCGACATCGAAAACCCCATTAATCAGATAGAATGAGTTTCGGAAATGCCCTTTAGCAACAGAATTTTGAAAATACCTACGGATGCTTACCTTGACACTTAATAAAAAACATTTTGAAAAAAATAAGAATAAAATCTAATGAACTTACAGTAATAATGAATGCATGGTGCTGGATTTATATATAATCATCGTCGACATCCCATTTATGTGGGACACAAAACATTGGATCATTATCACTAATAAGAGGTGAAGAATCATTGTTTTCTTCTGTTATATCGTCAAAAAAAGTGAATGAGGGAGGAGATGAAACCAAATCCCTTGATGCGTTGAGAGATGCACTAAATGATGAGTAACCGGATGATTGTTCACATTCAAATTCATGATCACTCATATTAAAATTAACACCAGAAGATGATTCCATATGTTCCACTCCAGCAATATTTGCACAGGCAGAGATCGATGTTTGGGATTCTAGGTCCGATTTTAAATACTCAGGTGCTATGATGATATCTGGTGTTGTGCAATCCATTTGACGTATGTTGCAGCTTTTTGGGGGTTTCGATTCAACGGTATCTGACGTCGTAACAGTGTTATCAATTTCGCTAAGTATCTTTGAACAAAATCGCTCGAAACCGAGTGCCGTTCCATCAGGATCTTGCAACGTCGGATCTGTTCCGTCAGCTGCGCAGATTTCCCCAATGATTTCTTGCATTTCATCGCTAGACATAAAAGCATTAAAATCGGCAATGAACGCATCATCGCCTGTTCCCTCTGCTGGGGACCGCGAATGGATTCGGCAGATCCAAGGGACGATGATGACATACTACTACTGCTACTAACTTCCGTCTCCGAGCATGATCCTTCACGTTCCTGATTATTATTCAACAAACCCCGCAACTCGACATTGTGACCCTTTAGTTCTTCACACGTCTTCTTCAAACACTTATTTTCCTCCCGCAATTTTCCATTCTCTAGGACAAGTATCCGAACAGCTTCTTCAAGTTTGCTCGCACGGTACTTCTTGCGATCACGCGCTGTTTGCGCAGCTACACGATTTTTTAATTTACGTCGATTCTGTTTCTCCTCCGCCGTTAAATGATTCAAACGTTCACGTTTTCGAACTGGTTGTTCCTCTGGAACTTCCAGACCAAGCAACTGCTCAATAGGTTGTTGCAGTACTGCAGCTTTCTCCGACCGCTGCACATTTTGCAGTGCAATAACTGCAGGAAGTGGTTGTCGCTCCACTATGGTGAGCGGCCGTGCTGTACAATAACGCGGTAAAATGGGTACTGATATATTTCGGGTCTTAAGAAGTGAAGATGATGAATAACCGGGTGTAGTCACGGTTTGCGGATGTAAAATATAAAAAGACATTCTTACTCACAACTGACTTCTGTTAGAAAATACTGACGTCTTATATCACGTCAAACGTCGGAATAAAAGAAAATTCCCATTAACTTCGATATGAAACACCGTCGCATCCAAATCAATGTTATGCTTCATAAGGGCCACCCATGAATCATCCCTTCTGCCACGTTACACAACTCCATTGGGCATCACTGCAACTACGACCAACCTGCCATCGCGACCCGATCGCTTACATACACACACACACATATAGGCATATAGACGCACACAGATACACACACATTCTATATGCACCGCCCATCTATTGATTTGGCGAATCGATAAGCTTGATCAATGTGCAGTGAATGATGGATTGAAGGGGAGGGAGTAACACTTTCGACGGAATGGATGACTGGGACTGTTGTAATCTTTACAGTTGCGAACATCACCTTCTGTACTGCAAAGAGATCAGGGCAATCGCGATAGCTTTAAGTTTTTTCTCATAAATAGCCTGTTTCAAAAAAAGTATCGTCAAATTTAATGCGGAAAATGATATGACGGACTTCAATGTAAACATCATCCCAAAGCTAAAGACCACAAGTCGAAACCGAGATTCAAGGAGATCACAGACATCAACGATCAAGTGTTCCCAATTATAAGAGTGGTAATAATGAATACAGAACTACGGCAGAAGAAAATACGGTACGAAATTAGAACTAAATAAAACAAACTTCAATCTATAGTACATGTAATGTTACCATATAACAAAGCAGTTAAAGCATGATCAGAACGTGAGAAGGTTGCTTGTCGTGATATGTTACCAGAAAAAAAGAAAAGTCAACATCTTTTCTTCCTTATCAAGAGGTTAAAAAAAAGAATTATTCCTTTTAAATGAGAAACATTCAACCACTCAAAATACACATAACGTATTGTTGATTGGCAGAAATAATACGTTGTACAATGTAAATTTATAATTTACTATCCAGAAACATACACGTATAGGATGTACAATTCATCTGAAATTTATATAGGGAAACTCGCGTATAATAGAAAATAGATTTTCGTGAATTAAAAAGGATTAAAAAGCAACGTCTGATAATTTAACTGCCAAAAATATCACAATAGTCGTTATACAAATGATACATTAAACACTCGTCTAACATTTCTTTTAAAACCTACAAGGCTATAGTGTATTAAGATATCTATAACAAGACATATTACTAGTTTCGTTCAAAATTAGAAACAAGAAATAGATATTTATATTTATAACAGTGATAACCACAAATAAGGTCTTTTCTTGCTCCCAGGATAAACCATCGCGTTTCAGCAATTGTAATAAAAGCTTTCAGAGAGACTGTCACTTACGATCCACTCTGATCAACAAGACAATAGAAAAAGAAAAGTTCGAAATAATAGCAGTCATATATTTCCGATGCAGAGCCATATATTCCTCATTTAAAACTCATGCTATATGCAGAAATTTATATACAACATACCGAATAAAAATGTAGAAGAATATAATCCCATATATTTTATATATATAAATTAAAACCATGAGGAAAATAACCCTTTATTCGAATTCGTCGGAGACAGATGTTTTGAAGCAAGAAACCGTGCCATACTTTCCTTTTCAAGTGCATCGTATACAAAATCCCGTTTCTGAAATGCAGTAGAAAAGTTAGTACCAATTCTTCCAAAACGTTTCGATCTGGGTGTCTCAATATGGATACTAATGAAACTCTCACTATTCCAGGAAATTTATAACAAAATGAAAAATAAAACTGAGCATATCACAATGAAACGCTCGATGGATTAGCAAATAAACACGCCATTATTTATTGTAGGACTTTTAACATTTAATGGCGTGTTAAAATTTTGAATTTTTGTTCAGTCCGGGAAGCTGCAAATGAAAAATTTATAATGGATGACAATAACACATGAAGATTATAATCTCGAAAGCACGAATGCTACGATTTCAAAGTAACGACTTCAACTATTTATTCTGTTGAAGTTATTAGTCTAAAAATTTGAATATACTTTTTCTATTAAAGTTCTCAGAAAATAACACGTATGTGGCACAAAATGTCTAAACTTCTGAGTATATGGCCTCCGATAATACGCAAAACTATTCATTTCAGATATCACTGAAATATTTGGTAATTTATGAATAGTTAAATGAATAGGTAAATCAAAAAGCGTATAGCGAAAATTCAAAAAAATGCCAACTATCAAATGAACTAAAAATAAAGAATTTAATAAATTCTATTCAGGGAAAAATTCATGGGGAAAAGAAGGAACTGTATGTCCATTTCAATCTAACATTATAAAACAATAATATTCGATTGGTCACCTTCAGAAGAGAATTAATTTCTTCGGTTTCGTTTTTAAGTCTCTCGACCACTTCCTTATACTTCTTAATTGCTTCGGTGTATTCTATTTGAAATTGAGACATTTCACTTTTCTTTTTAATCAATGTTTCTTCTGCAGTCATCAAATCACGTATCTGCAGAAATCTTCATTACTTGAAGCAAATATGATAACCAGTTGACAACACTAATAAGACGGAAAAAACATATATTTTGAAAAACAGAAATATGTGATTCATAACTTACACATTCAGTTGATATGGGTGAATCATTAAGTGGTACAAATTTCAGCTGATAGCGGACGTCTTTAATCCAATTATCGCCGTATACACACAAGAAATGATCCCGTTGTTCAAGTGTATGAGCTCCGACGACCTCCAAAGTATCAAGTAAATGAAATGGCAGTGGTGTTTCTTTATCTTCCATGTAAAATTTCATCGGTATAAATTCACTTAAATTAGCTCGATTGAATGGTACAAAGAAGATTTCAGCCACTGTACAGCCTTTCCGCTTGTTGCTTTCCTGAAACCATTTAAGAATAGAATTTTTGCTAAATTATGATTTATATCTTTTTTGACTTCCTTCATCAATGTCATCTTGAAACAATACAATGAGATCCCGACAAGAAAATTGAGGATGTCATTGAAATCGATTGCATTACGGAAATGAAGAAAATTTGAAATGTGAAAAATTGCTACTTGAATTATCCGGACACCGCCTTCCTTGTCAAAAAGCACTAATTTGAATTTACTCATTTGCATTGATCGACAGATAATCATTAGTCCATTTTTCTCCCATTGTGGCTGCATTGTCATTTTGAAAAAATCAGCCTCCTGAAAACTGAGTAAACTTGAATTTGACATCATTACATCATTACAGTCGCACAGAGAAGCAAATCATAATGATAACATAAATGTCAAAAAAAACCTTCAAAAAGCTATGCTATTATATCAACTTAAGATTTATTAGTTGCAATGTATACCCATCCTGAGTGTCATTGGTGACACCGACGTCACCACCAACATTCCTTAGGATGCAAAATTGATAATAAAAGGAATATGCTGAAAAAGCCAAATTCACTCACCTGCTTGCCAACTGAACCATCATATGGTATACCTTCTTTCAAAACAGCATATTTCGCATCGGTTGGCGTTCCCTCACACAAACTGCGAGCCTGAGAGAGAACTTTCGGTCCAATTTGAGTGGGTATTGGTACCCCTAATTTTGAAAATAATGCGCCAAAAACTCGCCCTGCATTATAAAAAGAAGAACAGATTAAACGCAAAATTTTTTTTGAATAAATCCCATAGGTAGCATGAAAAGAACAGGTATTGAGAATGAAGTTCATCAGAGTAAATGCTGGTGATTTCCAGCGGAATTTGTAGAAGAAATTTGTAAAAATTTACTTTCCAAAATCCACCGATTCGATTCATCAATTTAGCCAGTTTAACAGATGTGCTATAGCATCAAAATATACTGCAGCTTATTTGATCCCATAAAATATATAACACTATCTCATATCAAATTAATATGATAAGCAAATAACAAGCCAAAAACACCGTTCAAATTTCAGACAATAGATAAAAAAGTCGAAAAGATTTTCAAAGCTTAGTAAACATCGCATAAACCATACCGATGCCACCCATTTCACTGATATCTATTCCTTCAAAATCAACAAGAGCACCGGAAGGGCCACTTAGATCATATTGTCGCCTTTTATTTGGATCCGACAATACTGCGTATGCTATGGATATTTTTTTAAATTGTTCGGCAGCTATAAAACTCTTGTTAAATATTCTTTAAAATCTTATGACTAAAGTATTCGATAAATTAGTTCTAATCAAGTGCAATCGCAATATTGCTCTAATCAAGCGCAATCGTCTTTAGAGTACTATAAATGAGGATTATTAATTAATGTAGATGGGTATTTTACCCTATCTTATTTCACTTCAAATATTGAAAATGAGAGAAATGAGCCCATCAAATATTGACAGTATATTATATCTACTCACATCATACCCCTGAATCTTACTAATTTCTTTAAAATTACTGAAACTTTTCTATGAGAAGCATCATATGTCGAGCGAAAAAAAATATATAACCTTTCTGGTTACCAGGATTACGATCCGGATGAAATTTGAGCGCCAACTTTCGGTAGCTATTTTTAATTTGTTGTTCCGTGGCATTTTTCTCTACTCCAAGAATTTCGTAATAATCGATCACAGTGTCTTTTCCACTCATCTTATTTCACTGCCCTATAATACTATAAATTGACGCATATCCTTTTCACATTGAACGAAAAACTTTGATTTTATGGTAACATGTTTATTTAACCTAATGTGAAATAATTGGTGAGAAATTCTAAAGTAATAAAGGATGAAAGGAGGAAATAAACTTGACAAAATCATCATGTTTTAATATAAAATCACGATTTGGTATTAGATGGGATTTCGTGACAAATCTAAAAAAACGTAAAATTCACAACATCAATTCTCAAATCAAATAGTGCCAGAAAATTTTTGTCATTCTTTCATTTTTCCTTCTTTCATTCAGTTCAATCATTCATTCTTCCTATATTTTCGCAATATATTGCAATTCAAATAGTAGTGTTTTTCTCCAACATTTATTACTGATATCGCAAAATCATATTTGCGAATCACT